GCCATCTCTCCAGCCCCCAAAAATGGACACTTATAACTGCTGAACCACGTCAGCCCCCATTCTATTTTTAAATGTAGTCACATGAACAGGGATCCTTTAATCCAAAGTTAGAGATTATGGGGGAAAAAAATCCAAAGGTTAAGGAACCCATAACATAGGCAATCTACTTCTGAAAATTAGTGAAAGTAACTCATGCCATGTGTGTGTGTGTGTGTGTGTGTGTGCGCGCGCGCGTGTGCGCGCAAATTCGATATATATTATTGGATTGTTGAGGGTGTATTAACGCTAGGATCTGAACCCATGTTCTAAATGTTGTCCCACTAACTTATATCTCCATCCCTAGTGGGTTTGGGGATATGTTGTTTTGATTGAGATAGTGTCACTACAACTCTGGATGGCTGGAACTCCATAGAGCTTTGTTTGCCTCTGCCCCACATGCTGGAATTTTGATGGATTTTGTATGATTTGATTGAAAGTCTGGGATTCTCCATCCCCAAATTCAGTTCTCAGTGTAAGGAAGTCATGCATTTTTTTTCCCTCCTGCAAAAGTGTTAGATGCTTATGTTTAAATATGGTAGCATGTCTCCATACTAGGCAATCTCTGGAGCTAAATTTTGATTTCCTAAAATCCTAGCAAATATGGATCATTTGTGTGGGTAGACATATTTGAAGTTCTGGGGGACCAAAGCAATAGCCACAAGCAAGGTAGGCAAGAGCTCAGCCACAGGGCTATCCTCCCAACCCTCTCTGTCAGTTATAAAACAAGATCTCATTAGGTTACACCAACTGTTCTTGAACTCAGTATCTTCCTGTCTTGGACTCTATAGGTGAGAGTGCAGGCCTATGTTCCTACACATTACTCAGAAATAAAATGCTCTTCCCTGTTTACACTAAGTCAGGGAACATGTTCACGGATGGCATTTCAAGTCCTTAAGGGTTGAAATCTGGAAATGTCAGTGACTCATTGATTCCAGACAGCTAGTTGGGTAAAACTAAATAACAGCAAGTTATAATGATTGCTAAAGAACCTTTTAAAACATTCTGACTACCTGCCTAGATTTTCAAGTCAGTGTACGGAGATTGGCATAATATTTAAAATACTTTTCTAGTAACGAGTTTGACTGCCATAAATGCTTTTCTCAAACGCCTCACTGCAATGAACAAGGCTAATCACACTGCTCCGGCAGCTGAAGCACTAAAGCAGTCCTTCTGGAGTGCTCCTGCTGTGGTACCAAAACTTTCCCGGTCCCCATGAAGTAGTCTGCACCATGCAAAGGAACATGTGTCGTGCGTTTGCTGTCCTCCTTCACACTGTCTTTCTGAGTCAGGCTCTCATGTAGTCCAGGCTGGTTCCTACTCACTGCATTAGCTGAGGGTGACCCTGGGCTGAGGGTGATCCTCCATCTCCCAAGTGCTTGAACTTCGGGGATGTGACACCATGCCTTAGCCTAGGCAGCACTGGGGATCTGTGCTTCACAGATGTTAGTCACTCTACCAAGCCGGCTGGGTGCCCTGGCCCTCTATTTCAAAACTACAATTGTTTGTGTTTGTATGTGAGTATATATTTGAGTTAGTGAGTCATATGCATGTGCCCCACAGCGTAAAGGGGGTGTGTGTATGTGTCTGTGTGTGCTGGAGGCCACATAAGTCCCAGAGATTGAACTCACTTCATGAGGATTTAATCCTAGCACTTGGGAAGCAGAGGTAGGTAGATCTCTGAATTTTATGCCAGTCTAATCCACACAGTGAGCTCCAGGCGAGCCAGGGCTATACATAGTGAGTTCCTGTCTCACAAAAAAAGCAAAAAACTATACACACAAACACACACATACAGAGAAATATATATGTGTGTGTGTGTGCATGTATATGCATATGTGTGATGTATGTATGTATATATATAAAGAATTTTTTTTTCTGCAACTGTTTTGTTCTCTGGAATCATGTTGTGTGGTAGTGGCCCCCATGGGCTCATATATTTGGATATAGTTGGTGGGACTGTTTGAGAAGGATTAGGAGGTGTGGCCTTGAAGAAGGTATGACCTTGTTGGAGGAGGTATGTCACTGGGGGAAGGCCTTGAGGTTTCAAAAGTCCATGCCACTCCAGGTGGCTCTCTGTCTCACTGTCTCAATATGTGACCTTTCAACTACTGCTGCAGTACCATGCTCCCTGCCATTATATTACAGACTCTAACCTTCTGAAGCCATGAGCCACATGAAATGCTTTCTTCTACAAGTTCCCTTGGTTAAGATGTCTCTTCACAACAATAGAAAAGTAGCTAAGGCACTGCCTCTCAGATATGCACACCTTTGGTTTGTTTTTCACGGGTGTACATGATAACCCACAATGTCCTCCAGCTGTTTTCCTGGTGGTGGTATTTGGGTCATCTGCAGTTCATAGCTGTGACAGGACTGCAGCTGGCACCCTCCATCCTCTCGTCTGGCTTCTGTGTGAGGTAGGCGTTGGAGACGTACAATGCTGGTATTATTACTGAGAATTTATATTCTTATCTAAAATTATGTTTGTGTGTCGGAGTGTGTGCACATATGCATGGAGTCCTTACAAGACTTACCAGTCCTTACAAGACTCCATGCATATGGGCTTACTGGAGTGCCATGTGGTTGTGAGCTGCCTGACATGTTTGAGAACTGGACTGGGGTCCAGTTCAACAAGTGCTATTAATGTTGAAAAAGTCTTGGCTAAGAGTAAACAGAATAGTTATGCTTACACGTTTTTATTATTTAGTCTTTTTCGTCTGGATCTGTGTCTAAAGTCAAAACATCACTAATAATTTTCTAAGAACCTTTTATTCGTTGTTTTTTTGGGATTTCAAAAATACTTAGGAGGTATGTGTCACATGTGTACACATGTGCTTGCACACATCACAGTGCAGATGTGGTTAGAGAACAACTTTCAGGGGTCTACTCCCACTTTCTGCCATGTCCGTCCCAAGCACTGAACACAGGTTTTCAGGCTTAGTGACTAGCATCTCTTCTTTGCTGAGTCATCTCACCAGCCCCTAGGAATTGTGGGGGTTTTGGTTGGTTTAGGTTTTTGTTTTGAGGAAATTCAGTGTGCATTATAGATTATTTTACAGCACACACAGAGGTTGGCCCCAGGCTCCAGTGAGTGAGCTGTCTCCCACTTGAGGATTACAGGTGCAGGCTACCTGTGGTGCTGTGAATAAGAATGGTTCCCACAGGCTTGTCTAGTTGAATGCTTAATCCAGGGAATGGAAGTGTTTGAAAGGATCAGGTTAGGAGGTTTGGCCTTGTTAAGGAAGTGTGTTACTGGGGTAGCTCTGGGTTTTAAAAACCCAGCATCTGTCTCTCTCTTTGCCCGCAGACCAGGATGCAAAGGTCTCAGCTCTAACCCGTCTATGTCCATGTGCCACCATCTTCCCCACCATGCTGCTAATATCCTGAGCATCTGAAACTAAGGAAGCCCTCAGGTTGTTTTGTTTTATCACCTTTTTTTTTTTTTTTCTTCAAGACAGGGTTTCTCTATGTAGCCTTGGCTGTCCTGTACCTCACTCTGTAGACTGTAGACCAGGCTGGCCTTGAACTCACAGAACTCTGCCTGCCTCTGCCTCCCTGAGTGCTGGGATTAGCACCTTTCTTAAAAGTGCAGAGTCTACCAAAACTATGAAATGCTTTACAAATTTGTGTATCATCCTTACTCAGGGCTAGACTAATCGTTGTGTAATTCAGATTTTAGTAATATGTGCTGTCAAAGCAAGTACTTAAAGGATTTTTAAGAGTTGCCTTGGTCATGGTGTCTCTGCACAGCAAAAGAACAGTGACTCAGACACCACCACACCAAACCAGTGCCTTAGTATTACATGCATTTGTTTGGGTGGCAATTACCTGGACAGTCTTTATGGACTGTGCCTCCCTTAAGCCACATAAAAACCATTTACACTTTGCAAACAAATAAATCTTAGTTGAAACTGTCAAAAAGGGATCTGGTTAGTACGGACACCATGTGCATCAAGGTGCTGATGAGGCCGGATGCTCTGGAACTGAAGTTATAGGCATTTGTGAGGAGCCTGGCAACGGTGCAAGAAAATGAAGCCAGGACCTCTGGAAGAGGAACATGTGCTCTTCACATCTGAGAGCCCTCTCCATGGGCAGTGTTCTTCCTCCCCCCAAGGAACCCCAAAATATCCCAAATAAAAAAATAGCAGAAAAGTTTTCATTTTAAATTCTGAAAATTCTCATTTTTATTGATTTAAAAACACGACTATGTTCATGTGAAAATACATTAAGATACAGTTTTGTGACTTAATATGCTTTATATGAAAGTATGAGGTCTTAGAAGTATTACAGTTGCTAAGGATTATGTGTTTTGATTCCGTGATACTTTTCATGAGAATTTCCGAGACAAAAGTAAGATTCTTGAAGGTAAAATATGACATTAGTTTTCTAAATAAGACAGATTTGGGGGTGAGAAAAAGCAGATGTCTAGGAAGGTACAACAAAACCCAATGTACATTTTTTCCTAATTGTTTTGTTTTTGAGACAGAGTCTTTCTATGGAGCACTGGCTGTCCTGGAACTCACAAATCCTCCTGCCTCTGCCTCCCCACACACTACCACCACTGGTTGCATGTTTGCTTTTTGTTATTTTTGAGACACAGTTTTACTATCTATAGCCTAGACTGTCAGTGCTTCTGCCTCTGCTGAGATCGCCAGCACAAGGTGACATGCCCAACCAAACATCCTGCATTTTCATCACCAGCTTTAAAGCAGCTTAACATTGCCTTTAAAAAACAGCTTAACATTGCCTTTAAAAGCATCATATACAATATATATACATGTGTGTGTGTGAATTCAGGTGCATTGCTAGGGGTAAAATCTACAACTACGGACATTCTAGGTGCCTCTCTGTTCTAGACATTTAAATAATCAAATATTTGTGCTAGATATTAAAAATATGGGGATGTAACTCAGTGATAACAGAATATGTGTTCACATGCATAAAAATGTTTTTTATTTTCAGCACAGGCCCTACACCAAACCAAGTATTTCCCTCCACTTACTTCCTTCCCCAACACAACGCTAGGGCAATCAGCAGTGGGTGGATGCTGACCAGGCATTCTGCTCTCTGTAAGAGGTTTTGTTCCATTCACTTAATCAATGAATCCTCACTTTGGAGGCAACCACCGTACAGAAAACCACCTACACTTCCAAAGAAGTTTTATGTAGGCAGGCATTTTCGCTTTGTATTCCAAGATTTTTTAGTATTTAAAAATTTAAAGATTTTTCTTCCTGCCCCACCCCCAAATCAGCAAAGCTTATGAAAGAACAAGGAAAACTTGGAGAGCAGGCAGAAACACCTACACTTTCACCACAGACATACACAGGCCTACTGGCAGTGTTGCTCTGCATTTATTTACCTTCTTTTCTCCAAGCGCACAAAAAATTAGGCACACACATACATGTAGTTACACTGTTTACAGAATTTGACAATCTTTTTTTCCTGCTAAATAAAACTTTCCTGAATTGCTTTTCCTTCTCTTTATGCATTCCTCACTTTCATTAACTATTTTTCTGAGAAAGGCTTTTCCCATATAGCTCAGGCTGGACTCTTGTCTTCATTTCTCAGGACTAGGATTACATACAAGTCTGTGCCCCTTCTTCCCTTCCCTTTCCTTTCTACACACACACACACACACACACACACACACACACACACACACACACCATGCATTTCTTAAAATATTTGTCCTTATGTGTATGAGGGTTTGCCTGCATGTGTGCATGTGTGCCCATGTGCTACGTGAGGCTAGAAGAAGATATTGCATTTCCTGGAACTACAGTTACAGAGAATGAGCTACCATGTAGGTTTTGGGAACCAAACCTGGGTCCTGGGTCCTCTTTCCAGCACCCCCTCTTCTATTTTAGTTGCCAAAAACTTTTGTTGAATAAATATAAAAAAATGGTATTAATACAGTAGTATTAATGGTATTAATATTAAATGGTATTAATACAGTATGGTATTAATAACAGTAGTAATAGTTTTGTAATTTTTGACTTTTATATAATTTGTGTAAAATTATAGAAGCTGTAACATTTTAAATGTCTATGGCACATGCGCTCTGTGTTTTCATAACCCCATGAAGCTATGATGCCTGGCATTCTGGCTCACGTTTCAAGGGCCCATTCACAAGTGGAAAACCCCAGGTTAAGTCACACATGGATAACTGTAGGTCTGCTCATGAAGTTCACAGGCTGAACTCCCACAAGCTGTAAAACAGCGTTTATGGGTTTGTGATCCAACCTATTCCTGTCTCGGTGCACAAAGTGGATGCTGTTACCTAGAAGAGAACAAGGACAGACGCTGAGGGCAAATGACACTCTAGTCTTCAGAATCACTGCTTACCAGGATCAAGGGAGCGTTTCAACTCCTAATTAGTCCAGAGGGAGAAATTAATTACCTGGAGCCCATTATGTCCCTCTGTAATACTACCATAATTCTGCATCCTGGCAATTAACCATGACAAGGCAGTGGCTGAATGAGTGTTACTTAACACATTATGAGTTCCAAGGGGACAGCATCCTAAATTTACCCTTCTATTCAGTTTCATCAAGTATAATTAAGTAAAACATCCCATCAGACAGGCAGAATCTGGAACTAACATAGGTATCAGCTGGGAAATTCCATCTATTTCATAAGCACATGTACTAATAAAATAAAAATTTACTCGTGGGATTAGGGGTACCATGAGGTACCATGAGGATCTGGGTCATCCCCGGCACTGCCAAAATAACAAAAGCAAAGGCAAGAAAAACAATGACTTTATAGGATATTTTCTAACTAACCTAAGTGGTCAGAGAGAAGACGGTAAGCCAGTTAGCTACCATACACCTAGACACTCACAGTCCTCGCCACTCATTAAGTTAGAATTTATCATCTAAGTTCTGCTACTTCTATCTTGAACTCAAAACCAGAATTTTTGTTTGTTTTAAGACAGGGTCTGTCTGATTATGTAGTCCTAGCAGGGCTTTGACTATGTAGACCAGGCTGGCCTTGAACTCACACAGCTCCTCCTACGTCTGCCTCCAAAGCTTTGGGGTTAAAGCTGTGCACCACCATCCCACCCAAACTAGAATTTACCTTGAAACGTTAGATCAGATGGCTTGTTTTTTGGCATTACCTCCTGTGGTCACACCTACAGTAACAGGTTTAATTCTTCTGACCCTAACCCTGAAGATGTGGCTGTGGTGATTTGAATGAAAATGGCCCCACTGCTCAGAGGAAGTGGGTTTATCTGAAAGGATTAGGAGGTGTGAGCACTTGCTGGAAGAAGTGTGGCTGTGGGGGCTGGGTGGGGGCTGGGGACAGGGTTGGGGTGTGGGGTGGGCTTTGAGGTTTCAGAAGCTCAAGCCAGAAGCAGTGACTCTTCTCTCTTTCTACCTATGCAGATGTAGAACTGTCGGCTACCTCTCCAGCCCCATGTCTGCCTGTGTGCCGCCATGCTGCCCGCCATGCCAATAACGGACCACGCCTCTGAATTGTAAGTATGCCCCAATTAAGTGTTTTCTTATATAACAGTTGGGCAGTGGTTACGGTGTCTCTTCACAGTAACAGAAACCCTAAGACAACAGTCAAGTGACACAGGATGAGAAATGGGGTTAAACACACACACACTTCCAGATCTGAGGATGCAAACTAGTTATTCAAAAATATGGCTCTGGGGGCCGGAGAGATGGCTCAGAGGTTAAGAGCACTGTCTACTCTTCCAGAGTTCCTGAGTTCAATTCCTAGCCGCCACATGGTGGTTCCCAACCATCTATAGTGAGATCTGGTGCCCTCTTCTGGCCTGCAGGCACACATGCAGGCAGAACTGTATACATAAGTAAATAACATCTAATATATACGTGTGCCTATAAGGCTCTGGAAGATGGGTGTGTAGTTCAGTGATAGAAGCACAGTGTGCACAAGGCTCTGGGCAAAATATCCAACACCACAGAGAAAGAAAGAATATGGGCCTAATGAGATGGTTCAGGGGGTAAAGTTACTTGTCACCAACCTTGACAACCTGAGTTTAATCCCTAGGACTCACATCATAGGAAAGAACAGACACCTGCAAGTTGTCCTCTGACTTTCATCTGTACCAAGGCACATATGTCCTGCCCCCCCCCCCCAATGTACGCATGCTCACACATGTAACTAAATAAACGGAGCAATGCAAAATGATCTATTAATGCAAGTACTCAGAAGACACAGACAAGCAGATCTTTGTGTTTGAGGCCAGGTCAACTAGAGCTGCACAGTGAGAACTTGTTGCAAAACAGTATCTATTTTAAAAACACAGAGGCTTCCTTTGAGGTGGCTGCTGCCTGTAATTCTAGCACTTGGAGGCAGGTGGATCTCTCTGTGAGTTTGAGGCCAGCCTGGTCTACAAAGCGAGTCCAGGACAGCCAAGGCTACACAGAGAAACCCTGTCTGGAAAAAAACAAAAACAAACAAAACAAAACAACAACAAAGGCAGAGGCAAGTTAATCTCTGTGAGTTCGAGGCCAGCTGGTCTACACAGGACAGCTAGGGAGAAAAAAAAAAAGTAAAGAAAGAAACAAGGAAAGAAGGGAAGGGGAGGAGGGGGAGGGAAAGGAAGAGGTGGGGAGGGGAGAACTTTGCCCTCGTGAGCTCAATCCCCAGCATCAAAAACAAGCTTTCCAGTGGTTCGGTGGCTTCTTTTTAAATTAATCTGATCTAAATTTTTGAGAGATGGCCACAGCATGCCTGCTGTAAAGAACCAAAACACTTAACTAAACCTCTTTCTCAAAAGCAGCCCTTTCAACACTCTGGGTTTTAGAGAAGTGTTAGTAATTTTTTTGGAAGGTATGGTCCCGGCTTAAGTCTGCCTCTGCACAGTGACTTTTTGGTCTCATTGCAGACTGGAGAAAGCCGACCTTCCACCCTGACCAGGCATCGCTGGTGCACACAGCCAATTCAACTGTTGAATGAGGTGGCACATGGCAGTTCTCACTTTGGAATGGGCAGCCCTGGCACTGGCTTGTTTTCCAACACCGTGTGGGTCTCCTGGTTCAGTTAGTAAAAAAGATACGTTTATAAAGGGAACACAGCTCTCCAAGCTCGCACAGCAAGTGTCTTTCCATGGGAACCTACCTTGCTGGCCACCACTGAACTTCTGTCACTTTATTTTATATACCCATCTAAACTCTGTAGATTTATTTATTGGCTTATTATTTTAGCTTTTTAGTTTTCTTTGTAGCCCTGACTGCCCTCAAACTCAAAGATGCACCTGCCTCTGCCCCCCAAGTGCTGGGATTAAAGGTGTACACCACTTTTTTTTTCTGTTTGTAGATTTTTGAATGTTGTAAAGAGATACAAGTTATCAAAGTATACAGCCTGTTTGCTGAGTCCTCACCCTCCTTATATTCTCTTGATGAAGGCCCAGGGCTCTGCTCTGGAGCACTCCTAGTCCTTTGAGCCAGATGGCCTCGGAGAGCCTGGTATCGCTGTTGACATCTCGATCCCCCATCTCTTTCAGGGGAAACTCCCAGATTTCTTTGAGTATGGAATACTTTGCGAATCTGTGTCATTGTGCAGGGGCCATGCTACCCAAGGAGGCCAGAAGAGGGAGTCATTCCCAGCAGCTAATGTTACAGGTGGTTGTGAGTCACCTGATATAGGTGTGTGGGAACTGCACTTAAGTCCCTGACAGAACAGCCAGTGCTTGGAAACACTGAGCAATCTCCTAAAACCCTGCTGAACTTTCTAAAGAGCGTAACAGCCATATATCAACCAGCAACTCTATCTTGTTTTCTATGTCCCAAATCCCTGTCCCCACTCATGGGAACCCTCACCAAAAACAGACATCAACACACAGAAGCCTCTGAAAATGAAAGATGCTTTTCACCAAAGCAAGCCACCTCATCAAGCCAAGACCCCGTTTTTCCAGTGTCTGTGACATCAGAGAAGTGGGCAGCTCTTAGATTCGTAGAGGGCAGTGGAAAGGAACCTGTCCTTGATGCTCACCTGGACCTATGATGAGAGTTCCTCCTTGCTGAGCTGGGTCTCCTTGGAAATCAAACAGTGGGCCAGTGACTGCCCGCCACAGGCTCTGAAGGCTCCCCGAGAGCAGGCTGGACTTGATGTGGGGGCTCTGCCCTGAAACATTGAAAACTGTCCTTAAGTGTTATCATTTTATACTCCAATCAGATATGTTGTCAGTTCTCACAGGAAATGTCCTTTAAAAGTTTTAAATTATGTCTGTGTCTATATTTCTGTGTGGTTGTGCATGTGCCCACTGTGCCCAGTGGAGGTAGAGTTACAGGCAGTGGGGAGTCGCCCATGGTGAGCATTGGCACTGAACTTGGTTTCTTTGTAAGTGCAGCATGAACTCTTAATGGCTGCGCCATCACCCCTCCAGCCCCCAAAACATTCTGCATTGTGCCCCATTGTCCCTTCCTTACTCTTCAATGGAAATCACAGGACAGAACTTTCCCCTTTATTTTTTCTTCCTTGAAAAAATGGCTTAACCTGTCACTGAGACTGGCTCAGGAGTCCTTTTCTAGTGCAGAGTAAGGCAGCTGGCAGCATCCTTGCCTTCTATACCAGCTAAATGCCAGTAACACTGCTCCCTGCACAACCGAAAATATCTCCAGGTCAGGACAAACATGCTGGGAGGGGGTGATGTCACTGCTGAGGATATTGTCTTCAAGGAAGAAGTGACAACAGACCTGGCCCATCTGCCGCAGAGAACATCAATGACACTTCTACCATAATTTCCCACGTATACTTGCTGGTCCCTGCCTCATGTTCCTGTCCAGGACACACTTTGCACAGGCTGTTAAATGGTAGTCCAACACCTTTTCCTCCTCCTGGGCCCATGACTAGGCCCATGGCCTTTCCAGTTTCCTTCACATTAGCCTAGGTGATGTTCCAGCTAGTGAGTGAAGTGGTTGCTTCTAGGACAAGCTCCCTAACCTCCCTCCACATTGTTGGAAAGCTGGGACAGAGCCACAGGAGGGCAGGGCATGGGTCTTAGAAGTGCTGCTGATGCCTGCCATCATCTACCCTATTTTCACAATGACTGGTGAGTCTGCTCTGTGACTAACATTCCTGCTCCTTTTGAGCCGAGACAATCAGTCTCTCGTAGCATAACTATTTTTCTCTCATTCTTGCCTTGTTTATGTCAGAATTTAAGCTTTAACCTTTGATGACTGTACAGAAAAACACTCAGAGTCAAACTTACCTTCCCTACTCCATCTTCTGACTCAGATCAGTTTGACTCCAGCTACATGTGGGCGCATTTCTCCACATGCCAAACAAGCAGTAACTCAATGGTGACAAAATCTACCAGAAGATAACGGCAGATCAGGCAGGTGGAAGGCTAAGTCTCCAGAGAGGTCCCTACTTAATGCAGATGCTGACCACAAGCCTGGGTTATTTTAAAATGTTTATTTATATTTCATGTATATGGGTGTTTTGTTTGCACAGCAGAAGCCAGTGGCTGGTTACAAAGTAGGATCCTGTAAGCCCTTTGGGGATACAGTGGATTTTCTTAGTTGTCAATCTGACATGATCATCTGGGAAGGGAGTCTCAGTGAAGACTGTCTAGAATACATTGACCTGTAGCCATGTTTGTGGGAAATTACATTGATTAGGGTGCCCACTGTGGGTAGCGCTGTCCTCTGGCTAGGGGATCCTGTACTGTGTATGTGAGAAAGAGACTGAGCACAAGCATGCATGTATGAATTTAAGGCTCTCTGCTCTTGACTGAGGAGGCTAGGGGACCCTGTACTGTGTATGTGAGAAAGAGACTGAGCACAAGCATGCATGTACGAATTTAAGACTCTCTGCTCTTGACTGAGGAGGCAATATGACTGGCCGCTTCAAGCTCCAGCTGCCTTGACGTCCTGCAGTGACGGCCTGTGAGCTACAATTGTGAGCCACGTAAAATCTCCCCCTTAAGCTGCATGTCCAAGGGTATTTTATCACAGCAACGGAAACTAAATGATGACATAACCACTTACAGTTTAACTTTTAAAATTTGTTGTTGTTTTGTGCCTTGTGGGTTTAATTTTAATTTTATGTGCATTGCTGTTTTGCCTGCATGTATGTCTATGTGAGGGTGTCAGATCTTGTAGTTGCAGACAGTTGTGAGCTGCCATATGGGAGCTGGGATTTGAACCTGGGTCCTCTGGAAAAGCAGCCAGTGCTTCCAACCACTGAGAGAGCTCCCCAGCCCCAACTTTTTTAATTTTTAATTTTATTTTACTTATATGGGCATTTTGCCTGCCCATACATCTGTTCGCCGCATGCATGCAGTGGCTACAAAGGCCAGAAGAGGGCATCGTCAGGTCCCCCTGGAACCAGAATTATAGACAGTTGGAGAGGTCACAAGGGTGCTAGGAATGAACCTGTGTCCCCTGGAGGAGCAGACAATGCTCTTAACCACTGAGTTGTCGCCCCACCCTAAATGGTTTAATTTTTAAGTGAGTATCCTAAGAATGACTCTATGCTGGCCTTACAAGGAGGAACCTTTAAAAAGTATTTTATGAAGCTGGGAAGATGGCTCAGTTCCCAGTACCACAAGAGTCTGAATCTCCAGCTCCAGGTGATTCAACTCCTTCCAGTCTCCATGGACACTGTACATGACACATGAAGACAAAATACCCACATAAAAATAAATCTTTAAAGAAAATCTTGCTGTACTACCAGACGGCAGTGGTGCACGCCTTTAATCCCAGCAGAGGCAGAGGCAGGTGAGCTCTGAGTTTGAGGCCAGCCTGGTCTACAGAGTGAGTTCCAGGTCAGCCAGGAGTTGGGGGGGGGAGGGAGAGAAGAGGAGAGAGGAGGAGAGGGAGGGAAAGAGAAAGAAAGAGAGAGAGAGAGAGAGAGAGAGAGAGAGACCAGTTTTATAGAGACAGATTGCAGAGAGAGAGCAAGCTAGACAGACACAGGTGAAGACAGAGAAAGACAGAGAATGAGGAGAGAGAAAATTAGAGCAGATTGCTGGAGTTAATTTGAGGCCAAGCATAACAATTCAGGGACCAAGAGAAAAGCCAGATTGAATCAGTCAGCAGGCAGAGGAGTTTGAGCCAGAACAGCTAAGTTGAACCAGCCAGCAGAGTTCAGAAACAAGGAAGGCTGAGCTTATTCAGCAGTAAGTCTCAGAGGCTGAAACATTCTAGGCCTAGGTTATAGTGTAAGGTGGCCAGAAGCTTCCAGGACTAGGTCTAAGTTAGCAGACAGAGGCAGTAATCCTCTGAGACAACAACTGCCTCAGGAGAATAAAGGTTAATTTTACAAATATTATGTAACAGTAAAACAGACACAACTATATAAAGTGACTTATACTCTATGCTATATAAAATATATTTAAATAAAAGTATAAACAAGTTGCATGTATTCTTTCATAATTACAAAATGCATTTATTTGGTTTGGAGTTCACTTGTTTTCTTTACATTTCCAGTCTTCCTTGAGACAAGAGATAAAAGTGAAACTCACAGATCTTTTGTTTGTTTCTTTTAAGACATGGCTATCCTGGACTCACTTTGTGGACCAGGCTGGCCACAAACTCACAAAGATCCACCTGCCTCTGCCTCTGCCTCTGGAGTGCTGGAATTAAAAATGTGCACCACCACACCTGGCTTATAAACAGATCTTACACATGCTGAGACAGTTAGAGACATAAAAACAGTGACCTCAAACCTGCGGCCTACAATACTCCCCCAGCCAAGGCAAAAACTGAATGCTGGCTTATCAGTTTAGTCAACTTTAGGTTTCAGTCTCTAAATCGGCAATCAGGTGGGGCAGGATATCATACACTTTTATTCCCAGCACTAGGGAGGCAGAGACAAGAGGATATCAGCAGGCAAAATACCCATACACATAAAATAAGCATAATAAAAAGACCAAGGCATGTCTGCCTCCCAAGCAGCTCCCAGCCCGTCTCAGTGAGACCTCCTTGGCTGACAACATCTTTATCACCATCACTGGCTTCAGCTCTTCCAGGTGTGGTTCCTCCTCCATACATTCTGTGACTTACTGCCACAAAACACCTGAGAATCATTCATCAAGGATAAATCCAAACTGAGTCAAGCTGAATTCAGTGTGAAGCAGCCAGCCTATCCAACGACTCACACCAATTCAGCTAGAGGCAGGTACCTGCCTGTCTTCCCTTGGGTGGCACTTCCTGAAGCCTTTGCCTTAAAGCACCCCTTTCCACCCTCACCCCACCAGTAACTTTAATGGCAGCTGGGACTTCACCTCCAAAGCCAACTGCTTCTGGACCCTTCTCTCCCATGCTCTCAGAACTGGCACTCATCAGGCCTGCATCTCCTGTATCACATCTGCTAAGCTGCACTGCAACCTCTGGAAGGCAGAGGCTTGCTGGGTAATGTCTTTCCACTGTGTAAAGACAGTCCTTGATTTATTGATTTCTGTGCCATGCAGATCTGATTCAGGCTGGGCTTTGGCACTGCCATTTTTATGAAGCATCTCAATGTTTTGTAAACCTTGCTCTCTATCATCTTCTGATTGATCATATAAAGAGCTGAACAGCCTATAGCTGGGCAGGAGCATTAAGGCAGTGAGTCCAGGTCCAGAGAGGGGAGTTCCAGGTGGGGACCGGAGAGAGAGAAGTCACCATCAGAACAGGAATGAAGAAGCAGGTACCAGAGCGAGACAAAGATGGCAAGTAACCAGCTCCATGGCGGGAAGTAGACCAGGCTAGTGTTATCTATAGTGTCTGAAGCTTTTAATAAACATAAAGATCTCCGTGTCATTATTCAGGAGCTAGGGCAGGCATTAAAGAAAAAAAAGAAAAAAAAAAACCTTACAATTTTCAGAGGCTGTCCTTTATCACCTTCCCTCAAGAAGCATCCAACGCAGTGCTTAGCACAGATGAGAACTCAGTAACTGTTGAGAATGACTGACTGGAGTTGAGTTCTCATCTCTAGTATTTGGAAACCAAATCAGGCCTACAAAAAGACAAACAGGTCACCTCAGCTGGGCCTAGTGCTGAGAGCCCATCGTTGCCAAACTCACGAGTCAGATGCAGCAGGGCTACAAGTTCAAGGCCAGCCTGGGACTACATAGTGAGACCCAATGTGAAGATAACTAAAAATATAGCTAGTGCTTGCTAAGGTCTGCTAAGCAAAAACAAGGAATGTGGACATCACAAAGTTGAATAAACACCAAACTCTTTGTCTAACTGCACAGTGCAATGGGATATACTTTAAGAGCAGCAAGGGCTCTTAAAGTCCTGGAGGAGAAGCCTCTCCTTCTGCATCAACTGTTATTGGGAAGCTGGGTTTAATATCCAATGACATTGTGTTGAGACACAAAAACACACAAACTCGTCATATTTTCCTACTAATCAGGGAAGTAAAATGTCCTCCTGAAAAGTGTACAGGTTGGCTGGGGTGCCACTTGGTGGAAGATGGCTTGCGTGGCACAAACAAGGCTCCCCTACTCTCAAAAGGCCAATTTTGTCACTGAAACTTTGAAGAAAATACTGCAGTGTCTTCTGAATTCCTTTCATTAAACATAAAAATGACAACTAGAGGTCTTTATGGAAATTGTTTTTGTTTTCACAAAAATGGGCTTATAGAGAATACTTTTCTACTATCTGCCCTTGTTCATTCAATGTCCCCATGTCATTTGCTGTGAAGTTCAAAATGACTTCCTAAAGAAGCTGTAGACTGCTGGAATTGGAGACTAACAGGAACACCAGAGGGCCAAGAGAAATAGACTGTGGAGGTCTGGCTCATGAGGCTTACAGGAAAATAGGACTTAACCGAGAACAGGACTACAGGCCATTAGTGTCACACTCTGACAGAGAATCTGGCGTCATTCTGCCCACGTCCTGAAAAATAAGTGAGGCTGAATGCCAAAGTAATGAACTAGGATGTCTGGAAGAAGCCATGTCATGACTGGATGCTAGTCCAGGCTGTGGTGTGGTTCCTGCTCACTACTCCTTCGCTAACTGTACAGTGAGAGAGGGAGGGCAGAGATCTGATACAGCAAAAAAGAGGATTTGAGCAAGTTCAAAGACACAGACAAGGCTTGTGAGAGAAGGAAGCTTTGCTTTTTAAGGAGATTTGTGTCACTAAATAGAACCTCTGGTGGGCTGGAGCGATGGCTCAGCAGTTAAGAGTGACTGCTCTTCAAGAGGACCCAGGTTTGATTCCCAGCACCTACATGGCAGCTTACAGCTCTCTGTAACTCCTATCCAGGGACCCAACAGTTTCATAGAGTCATGCATGCAGTCAAGGCACCAATGTACATAAAATAAAAATAAACCAATTACAAAACAAAGAACCTCTGGCTTTTCACAGACAAGAAGAAAGGTACTTGGAGGCCAGGACCCCAAGACTAGAGTCTCAGGCTTGTGAAAATGTAAATCCATCTGAAGAAGAGCCTGAACTGACAGTACTACTGAGGGGTTCTCTGCCCAAAAACAAAGGTTTAGGGACCCGGGTTCACCCACTATGACTCAGCTCAACATCAACATCTTGAGCTGGCAGAAGGGGGCAGCACTGCCAATGGGGTTTTGCAGACATGAGACATGCATGTTATAGGGTCACGACCGCCTGCATCAGTGTCCACAGAGCCACTTGGCCAGGCAACGTGTGGCAGTGTCACCTATAGACTGTCACATAGAGCTGTGAAGGGGATGCCTACGCCGCACTGGGAATCCCAGGGTCCTAAAGATGCCAGGACTGTGGGACATCTACTAAAGAGAGCCCCAGGCATGGATGGGGCCAGCTCACCAGAACGGCAGCAAGTGCTGCAGAAGTTAGAACTGGAAGGGTGGGGCTGCCTACGCTTATGGGAACACAGAGGATTCCAGCGAACATGGAGTTGACTGCAGAATTACGTTAGTCCTGCTGTTTTGGTCTTTCCTTGCTGTCCTGGTTATTTTTTGTCAACTTGACCCGAACTTAGACATATCTGGGAAGAGGGACTCCTAATTGAGAAAATGTTTGCAGTAAGACTGGCCTAAAGGTGAGTCTATGGGATGACTGATATAGGAGAGACCATCTTACTGTGGGTGGCACCACTCCTGGGCAGGTGGTCCTGTGCTATATAAGAAAGCAGCGAGCAAGGCACGGGAAACAAACCAATAAGCAGTGTTCCTCCATGGCTTCTGCTCACTCCCTGCCTCCAGGTCCAGGCGGTGGGCTCATGCCCTGACTTCCTTTAATGATGGACTGTGATGTTGAAAGTGTAAGACGAAATAAACCCTTTGCCCCAACTTACCTTTGGTGATGGTGTTTATCACCACAGTAGAAGCCCTGAGACCTAGTCTCTTTCCTTTCCTTTTTTCTGGGATGCTAGTGTTTATTCTGTACCACAGTAAACAGAAAAATGTGTAAAACTGAAAAAAAAAATTTTACATGGAGCTCACAGTTAAGAGTCTGAATCTCAGAAGAGCCTTGAAGATTTGTTTGTATTATTATCTTTAAAAAATCATATGTACGTGTGTATATGTGTACGTGCTTATGTGTGCAGGAGTCCTTGGATGCCAGCAGAGGGTGTCCAATTTCTCAGAACTGGAGTTAGAGGTTGTTAGGAGCCACTATGTTGGTGCTGGGACTTGAACCTAGGTCTTCTGCAAAAGCAGCAAGCGCCCTTAACCACTAAGCCATCTCACCAGCCCCTTGGATTCCTATTTTGTCACAGCAACAGGTAAAGTATTGAACACACCTTTGCTATGTACATATGCCCTAGTGTGAGAAGATACACATGTCTGAAGAATCACATTGTATGAGAAACATGTCTTACCAGAGGAGGAAATTTCTTCACCTCTTTTCATTCCCAATCTTTTATAAATTTTTCTCTCAGGATCAACATAGATTTCATGAGAATAACCAGTCAGTTTGCAGAAAGGCTAAAAAGAGAATAACAGGAGTTTCTATGAGAACAAATGAGTAATGACAGTCTCACTTTCTACACCCAGGGACTCAACAAATTTAATTTTGTATATGAAACACTTAAGTTTTTGTATATGAAACACTCAGTTTGTTAGACGTTTACCTCAATATGGTGGTATGATGACTGTCCAATCACTATGAGGGTGACATCTGCTTCCTTCGGGAGAAAGAGAGACAAGTACATATTATTAAACGTATGTCTTAAGAACTTTCCCTAAAGCAATTCTTTTGTTTTATTCTAATGCCACCTATAGGCTTCTAGAAGAATAGAAAACAACAAAATTGCATGGGTAGAAAGAAATGCATGGTACAATATTTGAGTAATTCAGATTATTTGTTGGAATTTCAAGACTTAAACATAAAACTAGAAGAAAAATCAAGGGGAAGCTTAGTAACTCTGTCTGGGTAATGATCTGGCTCAGCGAGTAAAGGTGCTGCCATGCCTGATGATCCCAGTTCCATCTCAGGGACCTACATGGTAGCAGAGAACTGACTCCTGAAAGCTGTCTGACCTCCACACATGCACATACGAGTCAATAAAACATACCAACAACCGTAAACATGTATTCTTATTTAGCAAAGAAGGCAGCAGAGAAAAGGCACAGCACACTGACTGGACTAAGAAAACCGATGCAAATTACGCACCTGTCAAGAGACTTCTTTAATCTATGCTATGAATTCAAACACGGTAACAAGACAATCCAGTTTTTAAAATGAACAAAAATGGGCTAAAGATTAGGGCTTGTCTAGTACCCGCGGGTTCTGGATTCAATCTCTAGCAAAGGTGGGGCTAAGACTTAAATAGACAGTTCACAAAAGACAGAAGACATATAAATAGCCTGTAGCTATAAGAAAGAATTCTTGGGCTGCGGAGATGGCTCAGTGGATAAGGATCTGAGGATCTGAGCTGTAGCGCCAGAAAAAAAAAAATCAAACAAACAAAAACCGCCAGTGCAGCTGCACGTGCGTGCAGCCCCAGCAATGCAGAGGAGGATCCTGAGGCTCCCTGTCCAGTTAGCCAGTTCAAATCAGCAGTTCCAGGCCAGTGAGGGATGTTGCATGAAAAACAAGGAGAATGGCACCTGAGGAACAACACTTGAGGGTTACCTCTGGCCTCCATGCACATACATGCACCGAAATTTGTACACTCAACACAACTGTTAAGCATCACTAATCATTAGAAAAATGAAAACAGCAATGAAGTATCTCTTCGCCATAGGAGATGCCACTAATCAAAACGAGGTAAATATCTGTGTGGACACAGAACAAACAATCTTTGCGTGGTGCTAATGAGACTAAATTAGTATAGTTTTATGAAAACAGTACACGAGCGCTTACAAAATTTAAAAAGAACTACCGCCTGATTCAGAAATGCCACAACTGGTTATACATCCAAAAGAAATGAAAGGAGCAAATGCCAAAGAAACCCCACACTTCTGTGCTCACTGAAGCACTCTCAGTAGCAGCTAAGGCAAGGAAGTGTCCCAAGTGTCCATTAGTGAACGAACACATAAAGAAAAGTGTGATATCCCAATGAAGTAGCATCGACTATGGGGAACGAGGCTTTTCCTTTTGTTACTTGTGAAAACATGGACCAATCCAACACAATGACATAGTTATTAATAATGTACTATTTCAAATCCACACACACAAAAAGGTCAACTTCAAATGTTCTCACACACAACATGCTTACTGGGTTTCTGCTAGGAGAGGCATGGACCAAAAACCAAACCAAAACAAACACAAACCCCAACAACAACACACAGGAAATACAATCAGCCATAAAAAATCAGCCATAAAAAATCAGCCATAAAAAATGAGGGTAAGATAACTGCAGGAAGGAAATGGACACCATTATGCCAAGTCAATGTGGCATAATGACTTGTCCCCTGTCTGCATGGTCATTTTCCTGGCCCTGTTTCTTGGGACCAGTGAACCCACCCAAGAGCTAGCTCCAAGAAACCTGCCCTTTTTTTTTTTTTTTTTAAACTTTTAATTAGGCTTGAATTGGCTTATTTTGTGGTGGAGAAAAATCTTAGGTATGAAAGTAGAAAAGGGGTTGTCAGGATGAGGTCTAGGGTGACAGGGAATGAGAGGGTAAAGGAACATAAAGATATGTATCAAGAAAACCAATGTGGCTCCGGAGAGAAGAGCAACAAGAACGTGGGAGGCGGCAAAATAAGAACAAAGTGCACATGTATGAAAATACCACGGCGAGACCCATTTCTCTTCATGCTGTGTAAATCAACACTGTCGACGATATTAAATGTTTACAACGCGAAGGTGCTTCAAAGTATCGATGTATGCTGAAAACAGACGTTAGTTTTACAACCGCCCAGTGTCTTCACTCACAAAGCTCATCTGGAGACTGAAGAAAAACAGGAAGCCGGCCTTTAATCTAGCACTCAGGAGACAGAGGCAGGTGATCTCTGTGATTTCAAGTCCAGCCTCGTCTACAAGGCAAGTCCAGGACAGCCGGGGTTACACAGAGAGAAACTGTCTCGAAAAATCAAAAAAGGAAAAAAAAAAAAAAAAAAGAGAGAGAGAGAGAGAGAGAGGGAGAGAGAAAAAAAATAGGGACAGAGCTTGCAGCTAGCTTACTGGCAAATACAAACCTACATTCTTAAGATTGTTATCATTTTCCTATAACGAATAACTATTTGAGCTGTGTAAACTAAAGGGTGAAAAACATTAAGTTGCAGCCTGTGTTTTGTTTTGATTTTTGCATTCTTATGCAACGTGCGGTCGAAAGCAGTTTACCAGGTAAAATTATGACAGTACGTTCTCATGAGGGCGCAAAGGAGCTTATTACGACAGAAATAGAGGATGGAGGAGGAGACACCCACCCACTGCCGCTCACTCAGGAAACTTACTCGGAGGACGCTCTTCGGGATTTTGGCCAGATCTTCAACGTATTCTTTACAGACGTAACACAAGAAATGCTGAAAGGCAACCATGCAGAGGAGCATGTCAGCATGTCAGCTGGGTCCCAGAAGGTCCAGGCGCTCGGTGCCAGGCGAGCTGCTACAGCCGCACCGGCTCGGCCCGGCCCTTCCCGCCCGACCCGCGCTCACCCTCACGAACACCACCACGGCCCGCCGCTCCCGGAACAGCGCACCGAACGGCAACCGTCTCCCGGACGCGTCCAGCACCGGCAGCTCGGCCACGGCGGCCGCCAGCGGCTGCCCGCGCTCTGCGTCCGAGCTCGCAGGGCTCAGGACCCAGGCGCTGACCTGCCGCGTCACCGGGGCAGCCATCGCGGAGAAAGCGACCGACCGCTCGAGTCCGCCAGGAGTCGCGGGGGGCGGGGCCAGGCGGGAGGGGCGGGGCTGAGGCTCCAAAGGCGGGGCTATGCAGGAGGAGGCGAGGTCACGAGGGTGCCAGGCTGAAGGCGGAGCCACGAAGGAGGCGGAGCCACGCGGGAGGGCGGCTGATCCTTAGGAGGCGTGGCCACAAGGGACGAGATCGAGCTACGGGAACGAAACACTACAAACCCGTCTTTCGCCGTTTGAGTGCCAAAGGAGAGGGCCGTGCTGTGCGAGGTGAGGTTGGGCTAGTCCCTCTCTCTACTGCCTACGAAACTTCCCTCTTGAAAGAAGGCTGGAAAGATAGATCAGTGCTTAACAGCTTCTGGAGACTAAGGGTTTCGTTTCCGACACTCACATAGCAGCTCACAACTTTGAACTCCAGTCCCAGGGTGTCTGATAGCTAGCCTATTCTGGCCTCCACCGGCACCGTTCAGAGTGCCTACTGCTCTTGCAGAGGACCCAAGTTAGATTCCCAATACCCAATCAAATGTTCATAACTGCCTGTAACCTCTGACATCCTCTGGGGACTCACAGAGAGAGGGAGGGAGAGAGAATGAAAAATAATAAGAACAAGTCATTAAAAAATTTAGATTAGGGGCTGGAGAGATTACTCAGTGGTTAAGAGCACTGCCTGCTTCTCCAAAGAACCCGGGTTCAATTCCCAGCACCCATATGGCAGCTCACAACTTTCTGTATCAGACACCTTCACACTAATGTACATAAAATAAAATTATGCACAGCTTTAATCCCACCACTAGAGAGGCAGAAACAGGCAGATCTCTGAGTTCGAGACCATCCTGGTCTACAGAGCGAGTTCCACAACAGCCAGGGCTACACAGAGGAACCTTGTCTCGAAAACAAAAAAAAACAAAAATAAATTTTGTGTTCGTGTGTGTGTTGTCAGTCTGTGGGTATGAACAGGCCTCCTCCTGTGGCGGTCACAGGACTTTTGGTAGTTGGCTCTCTGCTTCCATCACTTGGATCCCAAGGATTGAAGTTGGTGGCAAATGCCTTCCTCTACAGTGCTATTACCTTGTATTTGTAATCAACTTCTTCCATTTCCCATTCTGTATACCCCTTTTCCACAGAAACCACTTCAGCCTGTTGTAGGTCTTCACCTAATACACTGACCAAAGTAATTTCCATTGGCTTTAAGTACACACATTGTAGAAGGGCCTGTGTCCAGACCCTTCCTTACTCTACTGTGGAGTGACAGTGACGCTGTAGTTTTCCTCGGTTGTCAGGACGAGCCACTGTAGGCAGAGCAGGCTCCCTTCAATGCCTGTTGCTTCAAAGGCCCACAGAAACCAATGTGCTGAGAGAATAAAGCACACTTGCAGAGTGCATAAAAGAGACAGGGTTCTTAATTCAGCTAAGGCTTCAGTCCCGCATATGGGCTCTATTTGAGTCAACTTTGGATCTTAGTAACAAATTGCACTTTTTTGCTTCAGTCAGTTCTGTGTTCTTGTGTTTTAAAATGTGTACAGCACTTAGTGTGTCTGTGCATGCGAGCACATGTACGCATGTACACACTGCATGTGTAGAGACCAGAGGACAACTTGTGGAAATCAGTTCTGTCCTTCCACCATGTGGGGTGCAAGGGATTGCATGCAGGTGGTCAGGCTTGGCAGCAGTGAGCTGAGCTGTCTCCTGATGGCTGTTATCCACTCTAGCTGTGGAGACTGGACTCTGTAGGTGCATTAACCCTAAAGGAGACATTGGCCAGTATGTTGGTCTCTGTCTAATCCCAAAGATCACTGACATGTTAGGACAAAGTGAAATCACAACTCTCTGTTCAGAAGTCAAACAAAATAGAATAGTATATAAATGTATGTGAATTAATCCAGCATGGTAGAAAACAGTCGTGAATCAGAATTCATGCTGTATTTCACAGAATGGTTCAGTAAATACAAGATACAAGTCAACATGGCCTGAAGAAGTTTTCACCTACAACTGCCAGATACAGTATTTTACAAAGGGACCAGCAATATGCCTGAGCTGATAAAGGCCCAAATGGGAGGAGAAAACCAACTCCCAAAAGTTGTCCTTTGACCTCTACTCACTCGTGTGCTATGACTTGGGTGCAAGGCACTCTGTTGGAGCTCCTGGAGATTTCACTAGATGGCGCTGCTTACATTTCTAAGTGGAAGACTTACACATGGACACTTGTTCATTTCTGTCTTGGTGGGAGCAGGACACCTCCCCTGCTGTTTTCCATCTGCTCAAGAGAATTCCTTTCTACGTTTCTGGGATCCAGATAGGCCAGGGCTCCCTGGAACTTAGGGACTATAGTGGATATCTTGTTGCCCCTGGCAACCTTCTTGCTAGCTGTCCTCTGGCCATTCTGAACTCCTGCAGTTGCCTGATTTCATCTGCTTGCTCCTCCTCAGAGCCTTTGATCCACATCCTCTCTTCTGGGGAGGCACTGGCCAGATGCCGATGCCATCCTCCTTAGGTCTTGGCTTGGTTATTTCTTAGTGAATTCCCTGGACCACCCAAGCTCTGCTGTCTTTACCTTCTTTGCACCATCTCCATCTAACACTGTGTAATTCACCAATTCACTTCATTTCAACTAAAATATGACATCTTTCTGTTTCAGGCACTACTCTGTCTCCCACTACACCTAAAATACAGGTAAACAACAAAACAAACAAAAACCATATTCTGTCCTTTCCACGTAGGAAGTGAGGTTAGGGGCCTTGTTGGGACAATGAACTACAATGGGTTCAGTGATCTACAGAACAGATTTGGTATAGAAGTTTTACTTTTATTTTATTTGTGTGTGTGAACGTGGAGGCCAGAGCACAGTGCTCTTGACTGCTAAGCCTTCTCTCTAGTTCCAGCCTTAACTTTTTAATTAATTTGTGCAGGGGCAGGGTGTGAACCGTGGCACTCATGCGGAGGCCAGAAGACAGCTCTGGGTTGCTGCCCTTCCTTCAGGAGAGCTCAGAGATTGAACTCAGGTCATCAGGGTTCCTGGCAAGCACCTCAGCCTACTGAGCCATTTCACTCATGCCTGTGTAGCGTTGGGAGCTTTAAATAGGTTAAAAGAGTGGTTTCCACTTGGGTCACTGCTCAGGAGAAAGCTACCTTCACATCGAAGCTACATTAACACCCTGTGCTGAGGCCTCTGGGGGAGCAGCCAAGCAGAGGAGGCACTTGCTAGATGGCTGAGAAAGCTTTCCGGAGGCTGAGGCTCTGGCACTGTGCTAGTCTTCAGTTAAGTTTAGACCAACAGTTCTCAACTTGTGGGTCATGACCCTTTCACAAGAGTCACCTAAGACCACTGCAAAACACAGATGTTTACAATTCATATTACAATTCATAGCAGTAGCAAAATTACAGTTAGGAACTTGCAATGGAAAAACTTTTATGGTTGTGGGTCACCACATATGAGGAACTATATTAAGGGTTGCAGCGTTAGGAAGGTTGAGAACCACTGCTTTAGACCCTCCATCTTAAAGCCAGGGGAATGGAAGAGCAGAGACAAACCACTCTGCTCTGCACCATCTCAGTTTCTGACCAACCGAAATCAATGTTATAAGTTAATGTTAACCATAATCCCAGCACTCAGGGAGCCAGAGGCAGGTGGATTTCTGTGAGTTCAAAGCCAGCCTGGTCTACAAAATGAATTCAGGATAGCCAGGGCTACACAGAGAACCCCGTTTTGAAAAAATAAAATGTTAAGCGGCCAGGGAGAACTTTAATTTGTAAGTTGTGTGATGTTTATTTATTTGCATATGTATGTATATGTGAGCCCCTGCCACAGTGCACTGTATTCTCAAGGGTGACTGACCAGGAGCTTTCAGCTGATCCCCCTTTATCCAGCTCCCGTCTCAGTAGGAGTGCTGGGATTTCGGATACTTGCTACCATGACCTTCATTTGTCAGACCAGGTTGTGGCATAGGTCATAGGCATCCCTGTTCCAGCAGTCAGTCACAACTGACTGAAATGGAGATTGGAAAATCCAGAGAAGCTACTTCTTGGAGGAAAAATGAAATTATCACTTTTGAACAGAATACCAGACTCTACGGTTTGTGAAACTCATCTAAGAAGAAATGGTTTCATGTAGAAGAGTTTTTATATTCCCTTGAAAGAACCAGAAACCTCTGTGAATAATTTGATATCTCCTGCTGGCAGTCTTTGAACAAAAACCTTTTCATACATTCATATTCAATAATATGGTTTTTCCTGCCGAATCATTTTTCTGTAAATGTGTTGACATCAAGAACTGTTCTTTCTTTCTTTCTTTCTTTCTTTCTTTCTTTCTTTCTTTCTTTCTTTCTTTCTTTCTTTCTTTCTCTTTCTTTCCTTCCTTCTTTCTTTCTTTCTTTCTTTCTTTCTTTCTCTCTCTCTCATTCTTTCTTTCTTTGATTTATTTACTATACATACAGTCTTTTGTCTGTATGTATGCCAGCATGCCAGAAGAGGGCACCAGATCTCATAATAGATGGTTATGAGCCACATGAGCCACCATGTGTTTCCTGGGAATTGAACTCAGGTCCTTTGGAAGAACAGCCAGTGTTTTTAACCTCTGAGCCATCTCTCTAGCTCCAAGAATTGTTTTCTTATAAACAGACATTCAAGTCTTTTCCTGTCAAAATCTTCTTAGGTCAAATAGATGTTTCTTTTGTCAGAAATATTTTTCTAGTCATTATATCATCAGGACATCCTCTCTCCCTGAATTCTCTAATATGTTTACAACTGGCTTGTACAATTACCCATATTCATTGCATTCATAAGACTTCCTGCTATGAATTCTCTGATGTATTCTAAGTTTGATTTCTGGCCAAAATGTTTTCCCACATTCATAACAATGGAAGGGTTTCTTCTCCTGTATAAATTCTCCCGTGGTCACTAAGGATTATCTTTTGTACAAATGTTTCCTCACATTCATTACACTTACATGGTTTCTCTCCAGTGTGGAGATGGATGTCTGGGTAATTTTTTTCCACAGTTATTACATTTAGCCAGTTTTTCTCCTGT